ACTGAAATCCAATGCTGGACTCTTTCTGGTGAAAGACCCAGCTCTCCCAGGAATGAAGATTTTAATGACAAACTGAGAAACGAGGTGCCCATGCCCAGAACGCAAGGCCATGGACTGGGAGGCATGTGTTCCGGGCAGGGTCTTTTGGGTAAGTCTGGCTGGTTGCAGCAGCTGGTCATAACAGGTCACGGATTTGCTCTCCCTCTGGGCTAGTGTGCTGGCTCTATTCCATGGACGCAGATGTGGCTCTATCCCAGCGAGAGCGCGTCCCCAGGACCCTACCCCCAGCTTTGGCCATCTTGAGGCCCCAGAGGATGCTTGCCGCTAGCACAAGGGAGGCTGGGTGGGAAAGAAGAGATGATTGCCCTGCAGCCCCCTTTCCTGGACACTGGATCCTGCTGATGGAAGCGCAGGAAAGCCGACTTCAGAAATGGAGGCAGCACATTGATCCACTTTCCTTTTTTAAATGAAGCTGATGAGAAGTAATGCATCGTGGGAAATAAGGACTCTCAGCAGGAGGGATCTAGATTCTCAAACCACTGCAGGCAAGAAATGTTATCTGCCTTTATATTCCTTCCTGCCAGCCGCGAAGCAAACCTTCAACGCGTGCTTGTTGAAAGCAACACCTGGGAACCCTAAAGCTTAAGACACAAATGACACAAACAATTCCCAGCTCCCTCCAGCGGCCGGAAGAGTGTGTGTGGGCGGCTACCGTTCACGCCCCTCAGCCCTGGACACAAATAAGGCGAAGGCTGCCACGGGGAAATGGAAAATACCCCGGGAGGGGTGGGACAGGCAAGTCTGCTTCGTGAGCACCTGCACCTACCCTCCTCCCCAAAGCATTTTCTCTATGGTTCAAGTTCAACTAGTTCTTCTATGTCTTGACTTGAATTTTGCTTTTGTTCACTTTGCCTACTGGAACTGAAACTCTTAGGATGTCTGGTCACAGGCTAGCGAAGCCGTCTTCCTGGCAGAGCCAGACTTAGGATTTAGGCCACTAAGGGGGATTTTTGTCCTCTCTGCCTTCTGCCCCACCACCCCCTGCAGAACGGCTCTCCCCAGATTTGCCTTCCGGGGCCTCGTTCCGTCCCGTGACTGACTGGCCTGCTCGCAGGCAATCCTTGTTCGTGCTGACGGTGCCACGGACTTCCACGGCGCCACTCCTCTCCGTTGAGCTGCCATTCTACTCTGTCACCTTGCACTCTTTCGGGAACTTCATGAACTCTGTGACTTCCTGGGCTTCAGTCTCCCATAACAGATAACTTCTGCCCTGAAGGTTCAGATTCCACCGGCATCTTCCCGTGGCATTAGTTCAGAGCCACCGACTGGCCCGACTTAAAGAGCAGGTCCCAGGTGGCAGCTGTGACTTCATGTGCCAGCAACTTGTAAAGATTAAGGCCATCTCCCGAAGCTCTAAGAGACCTCTGGCACTCCCTTACAGTGTGTCATCACAAATGTAGGGGAGACGGTGTGTCCAGAGACATTGACCGCACATGTCCCTGAGCCTCCGCAGAGGCTGCAGGACTGCGAAGTCTTCTGGGAAGATGGAGGGAAACTGTGGTCTCCTCTTTAAATGTCACAGGGTCCCCTTCCCACCTGTCCCCTCCCTTCCTCCTCCCCACGAAGCTGTGCCGGTAGTCTCTATACTAGGAATGTTGCCACTCTGACCCTACTTGCCCCCACCCTGCCCCCTGGAGACCTCAGGTAAAGGCTTCTCCCTTATCTTCACCCACAGTGAGAAGAAACGCTAACCTTCTCTAGGACCCAGTGCATTTCCTGTCTGCAGACCGAGCATCTTAAGATCTGAATCCCTTTCCCCGCAACGTCTCACTTTCCCTCCACCCTGGGGACTAGACTGCACAGACAGGACTGCCACACGGACCTGTCTCCTTGAAGGGCCGGATGTGAGCTGGCAAAGGACTCAACGGAGAAAAGGGCTCGGGGGAGCCTTGATGGTAGGCCTTAAGAAATAAGAGAAGACCTGCTCTGTTCAAGAACCATACGAGGAAGACAAGAACAAGGAAGAACTTTCAGACTCCCTGCAATCCTGGTTCTGCTCTCTTTCGCGAGAGTTGGTCACTATCAACAGAGATCTCAGGAAGGCTAGAGCCGAGGGTGGTGACCCAGCGCTGGACCGGGGGAGCGGGGAGTGTGAGGGGAGGTGGTGGTGGCTGATGGCGAGAACATGGATCCGAGCCCCTTGGCAACGTTGACAATATGGAGCCCCTCTCTTCCTGGTCCCCCACGCTATCCTTCAGACCTTCAGACAGCCGTGCCGTGCCGGGCTGTCGCGGACCCTGTAATATCAACTCAACAATGCATGTTCTACAACTACGGCTACAGCTACCAGGACATCTACTACAGTGCATGCATTTAGTTCAGTCCCACAGATACATACACTCTAAGAACAGGCAGGGGAGGTGTGAAATGTTTTACTGGACAACAGGTGTTTTGGAGTTGTAACTAATAAAAAAAAAAATCGAAAACGAAAGTGTACAAAAAAAGACATTTCTTGAGAGTTGGATATGAGTTTGTTTCTTGAACTGTTTCATCTGAACAAGCAAAAACATGCAAACCAGCTGGTACTAACAGGAAGCTGGACACTGAGAGAGGATTAATAGGTGTGGACAAACCTTCCCGCTGAGCGTGCTCAGAAGAGTGTTTGAGAGGAGGTGTGCAGATCCTAGTGTAAGAGAGGCGGGAAAGTATGCCTCAGAGACACTCTCTCACCGCAGCCCCAACCAAGCAAGAGAAAAGACAACAGAAACATGACTCTCGCACTCACCACCACCGTCAGGAACTCATGTTACTAGATTGGAATAAAGCTGGCAAGTATAAAGTACAGTAAGGGGTCCTGGCTGGGGCCGGAGATGGGCTGGGGGTGGGCAGGGGGCTCAGAAGCTCTTCGACTGATACACAGACCCACCCGTAATGTCACCCAGAAATAAAATAGCCTGAAAATCCAAACCACTGCCCTCACCTGTGTGTGTGTAGGGGGGTGGGGTGGGGTCGTTTACCAAAGTGGATTCAGGTTTGGGTGGGACATGATGAGGCCATTGGAACTGAATGAATACGATCAAAATAAACAAACAAACTCTCGACTGAGCACAAGGAAAGATGACGTTTCGGACTACCAGGTGAAGGTAAAAGAAAAGTGACCCACTGCTAGTGAAGTTATCTAGGAGTCGGCAGGGACCTCCCCTGGGGGGGTCACCTGAGCCCTGCTCACCTCAGACCCAGGGCGAATTAAGGCAAAGGCGGGCAGGCTGGCCCCGAG